CCCCCCGCCCACCTGTCCCCACGGACAGTCACCTGGAGGTAGGTTTAAGCACATCACTGCCGGCACTGAGTGGCTTATGGCTCGCAGTCGTGCCTGGCGCCACGGCCAGTCCATCTCATAAAGGGGCGTGGGCCTGGCGTCTATTTTAAGTGACAAGGAGGTGGACACAGACGCTATTTCTTCTTTTATGGCCACATGCGTCACACACAGGCAGCTCCCGGTTATGGCCTTGTTCCAGGGTTTGATGACCCAGGTTCTCTTCCTGCAGCCTCTTCGGAACTTGCTGGAAGCTGCCCCAGAGGGCCCCAACCTCCCGGCCCTTGGGGGATGACTCAGTAATTGCCAGATCTTGACAGTCTGTTCTTATCAGAAGCTCAGACCAGATCACCCTCCATCCCCGGCAGGAGGTCACAGCAAAGAAGTGTTTGGTGTGTCTCTCTGAAGCCTGGCTCCCTGCTCCGACCCCGGCCCTACCTGGGCGGGTTGTAACTTGCAAAAGTGATGTGTTGTCCAAAGGCCAGGTTCAGAGAGAAGAATATCTGGGTGGCTGCATCCAGCCACACCCGGGGGCTCTGCAGGACCTGCATCTGCAAGGAGATAGGGGCCCGAGATCAGACAAGCTGCCCTGGCCCAGTGCCTCCTGTTCTGGAACGTTCCCAGCGTCCCTGGGACTACTCCCACGAGCAGTGCCACCTGCTCAGGCCCCAAGAAAAGTTTGGGACCGCACGCGAGGAGCAGTTGACATGGCCAACTCCAGCCGCCTGCTCGTGATGTGTAATGGCCCCCCGGGTCCCAGCCACACGAGACGTGTGGCCCTGAGCGCTAGGGGCACCGCCCTCTCGGGCTGGGAGTCAAGGCTGAGCAGCTCGGACTCAGGGTGTTTGTACTGCTCCCCTCAGGCCCGGGGTTGTGAGGACTTGAGGGCCAGGTGGGGCCCCCATGCACACAGTGCCTCATGTCTCTGCTGCTAGACCGGGCAAACCTCCGCCTGCTTGCGTACCAGGGGCCTGTCCCTCCCCCGGGCAGGGCTCTGCCTGGGAGGCTGCGGGATGAGCCGGGCAGCCCCTGGGGTCCCGGGGATGCTGGGGCCCCGGAGACTGTGGAATGGCCCAGTGGTCCTCGCCTGGTGGGGCTGCACTGCTGGACGAGGGCCTCAGAGGTGTGGGGCCTGGGATCCCAGGGGTGGGAAGTGTGGGTCCCCAGCTGGCCTCCCCCCCGAACCCCAGTTTCATAGCGGTCCCCACATTCCAGACCGAGTCGTCCTCTGCTGCCTCCCCTCTGAACCTGACCCCTGGGACCCCAGGCTGCCCCTCCTTGTGACCACGCCTCTGCTCCCACAGCCAGGGGTTGGGACGAGCTGGGCTGGGCAGGGGCCCTGGCTCGCATGCTTCCAGAGCCCGGACCCCAGGGGGCTTGGATTCGGGACCCACTTACATCGAGCGTGAATAGGTAGGTCCGTCCTTCGGTCGCCCCAGGCAGGGTGAGTCCTCTGATGAGGAAAACCTAGAGGAGCAGGTACGGGAACGAGGCCATGAAATAAATTGCCTGAAAAGGCCGGCTGTTAGTCTTTTCAGTGTGTCTGTTCCGCCTGAACCCTTGAGAGGGGTGGGTGTACCGAGATGCTCAGGTCCACTGCCACGTCACCCGTGGGATCCGGGAGGGGATGGTGGGGTGTGAGCTCCAGTGAAGCTTGTGGCGTTTGGGGCTCCCCCTGAAGCCCATACGTGGACCCCGCTGAGGAGGGCGATGGCCTCCCCGGGGCGGGCGGACTCCCTCTCGCCCACAGTCAGGCCCCTCTTCCTTCCACCCTGAGGCCCCCAACTGGCCGCTTCTCAGGGTCCATGGGGCCACACACCTGCCCACACCTTCTCCCGCAGAAGGACCAGCCCCCAATTCTTTCAGGGTTGAGGAGGGGTCTGCACACACGGCATCTGCGAAAAATAAATCTGCGAGTGGACGCCCTTCCCTCCTGACCCCCAGACCCCAGTGTCGACCCAGTGCGTCTTCAGGGACTTTCATGGCAGGATTATTCGGGGTTTCTGGCTGGCTTGTTGCGACTGATGGCTGCTTCCAAAATTCCAGTCCCCTCAAGCTTGGAGCCCCTCATGTGAGAGTAACCATCACCCTCACGTGGTAACCGAGAAAAAGCACAGGCACACATGCACACCCGGACCTGCAAACCTCCAAAACCACGGATCGGGAGACCTGGTGGTAATGCACGGGATTTCATCACAGTCATTTAAAGGACAGACATATAAATTATTGGACTTACCCAAGCCCAGAAGGAAGAGAGGGTGGGGAGCCCTGTGCTAGGTGCAATTTGAAAGGCAGGCTTGGGGGCTTAGGCTCAGGCTCCCCTGGTCCTTATTGCATGGAGACCAGGTAACTATCAATATTTTTTTTCTCATTGTCTACATCTCTTTAAAAGATAATCCACTGTTTGAAACAAAAATGCTGAGAATGCAGGAGTTTCCTGGCAGTCTAGTGGTTAGACTTGGCACTTTGGTCACGGAACTAAGATCCCACAAGCCGTGCAGTGCAGCCAAAAAACATGCTGAGAATGCACTTGCTGTTTATAACACATTGCAAGTCAAATGTATGACAACAGTGTGGACACTGTGGGGAGGGAGGGTGATGCTGAGAGCTTCCTCTGTGCAGTGGTACAGCATTGCTTGGAGACGGACCATGATGCTACAACCCCTAATTCAGCCACCAAGTTGCTACTAATAAGCAAAGCGCATAGAGTGGGATCAAAAAATACGCAGCAAAAGAGTGAAACAGGAGCAAAGAACAGAGGGGACAAGCAGAAAAGAAGCACAAGATGACAAGCTAAACCAAACCAGATCAATAAGCACATTACACGTAAATGGTCTGAACACCCCAGATGAAAAAGGCAGGGGCCTTCCCTGGTGGCGCAGTGGTTAAGAATCCGCCTGCCAATGCAGGGGACACGGGTTCGAGCCCTGGTCCGGGAAGATCCCACATGCCGCAGAGCAACTAAGCCCGTGTGCCACAACTACTGAGCCTGTGCGCCGCAACTACTCAAGCCCGCGCACCTAGAGCCCGTGCTCCGCAACAAGAGAAGCCACCGCAATGAGAGGCCCACGCACCGCAAGGAAGAGTAGCCCCCACTCGCGGCAACTAGAGAAAGCCCGCGCGCAGCAACGAAGACCCAACGCTGCCAATAAAAAAAAAAAAAAAAAGGCAGGGATTGTCAGACTGGATAAAAAAGCGAGACCAACTATATGCTGTCTACAAGAATCACACCTCAAACAAAAAGGCCCAAAGAGGTGAAAAGAAAAAAATGGGGAAAAGTGCATTATGTTGATTGAGTCAGCAAAGGCTGGAAGAGCTTCTCTAATATCCCAGCGCACTTGGAGCCGACAGTCGCCAGGCTGAGGAGCTTCACCTCGTGGTGACAAAGGCACCAGTTCTCCAGGGACACGTGACAGTGCTGATGTTTCACCCCTCCTCACCGAGCCTCTGAACCCCAGAGGCCAGCAATGATGGAAATGGGGAGGGGTCCTCTGGGGCTGGTGGGAGCAGGGTCTGGCCTGTGGGCTCTCACCTTCCCAGTGGTCTCAGTGCCTCTGATGACGCACAAGTACACCATGGCCCAGGAGGCCGTCAAGCAGACCAGCAGCCACCACTGGACAGAGCCACTGCCGTTGATGTCGGCCGTGATGTTCAGTGTCTGCCGGTACCGGCAGAGGCTCACAGCGCTGCTGTCCCGGCGTTCCAGCACAAAGCCTGGAACCAGCCCGTGCAGTCATGGGCTGGCCATAGACTGCAGACGACCTGGGCACACTGGGCAGGACCACCGCCACCCTGAGTGAGGGGCAGGGAGGCTGACTGCCAGTGGCCTCTGTGGCCGACACAGGGAGCCTCCCAGGCCAGCCCCTTGGCCTGAGCACCCAGGGCCAGCCTTGTCCAGCGCGTGCCGAGCACAAGTTTCTATCAGCCAGAGGCAGGAAGGGGAAGAGATCAACCCAGCTTTTCGAGC